CCTTGATTAGATTAAATCCATAGCCAATGATAGATGTTTCAGTACAGCACCAGAATATTAAGCCAGGACAGATAGAACCTTACTAAGGCCACTACAGTAGCAACTTTCGAACAATGTCACCTTACAAAAACTACTAATGTACCTGAATGCTCAATCCTTGATTAGATTAAATCCATGACCAACAAGGAGAAGTCGTAGACATCATCCCTCCATGAAATAGCTTGTTATTTTGTAATCTTTTGGTGTATTTCAATAGAGATATTATGAGTCAAACTTTGTTTTTATCAGCAGAATGATTTGTGGTGGCACTTTGTATTTATCAAGCTGTCATGTGCAGGCGTTTAGGTTCTTGTTACCATGGTTTGTTTACTTTGATGGCCAGCAGGTCATTTGCCTTAGCCTGGGTACCATCCCCAGTAGTATATTCGCAAACTCTATAACTGTTATAGAGTTTGCGAATATACTACTGGGGATGGTACCCAGGCTACATTTGCCTGTACATGTAGGTCAATGACCAGGTCAAATGACCTGCAGACCAGACAAACAAGATTTATTTTCCTGCATCTCTATCTAGGGGTAAAAATAGATAGGGCTGCCTGGGTCTGACCTGCCAGCTGGAGGTATAAACAAAAACACTCTGTCCCAACTTTTGGGTCAAACAGACCATCCTATTATGAAGTAGGGGTGAAAAAGTGAAAATCCTTTTAAATTAAGCAATAAAAATATGCGACAACCTGCTAATGCACTCCAAAACACAAAGAGACTCAACAACTACCCACATACCAAAAATCATACCAAACCATCCCCCAGATTTTCCAAACATTCAACACAAAAAGTCCAACATTAAACATTTTGTAAATATCAAACGCAAACAGCTAGGGGACCCAAATTTAAACCACTAAACCATGGTAATAACAACTACATGCTACCTTAATATCGCACAAACAGTCCATAACGCGAAAACAACAGAATAAAAAAATTAAACTGCAGTACCAAGGTCAATCACCAGGGGCTCAAAGTCAACCTACACAATCTCCAAGGCCCCATCCATCAATCTGCCAAATATCGTACAGTTCCTTCTCACCGATCTTCAGATATCAGACCAAACATGAAACGGAGTAAAAACAGTACCCCCATTTTCATGGAGGGTAATGATAGATGTTTCAGTACAGCACCAGAATGTTAAGCCAGGACAGATAGAACCTTACCAAGGTTACCAATGTAGCAACTTTCGAACAATGTCACCTTACAAAAACTACTTTGCAATGAATGCTCATTCCTTGATTAGATTAAATCCCTAGCCAATGATAGATGTTTCAGTACAGCATCAGAAGCCGGGACAGATACATGTAGAACCTTACCAGGGTCACCAATGTAGCAACTTTTGAACAATGTCACCTTACGAAAAAGTATCTCCTAACAAAAATGCATCAAGTCATATGACAGCCCAGTTTAAAGAATCAATTTGAAAGTTTCTAGGTCTCATTATGTCATGTACTTGCCTCTTTTCAGTTTCTTCAGCCAGTGTTAGAAATACCCATCTGCAGTCTGCATTTTAATTTGCTGAGAAATTTTCAATGTTGCAGAAGAAAAATTAAGCAACCTACAATTTTGCAGACTAAAAAATCAGGATAGGGGTTCAATGCTGTCTGTATAATACTGCTGACTTTATGATATACTCAGTTATGCATTTTTTTTCAAATTACACATAAAATGTCTGCCAACATGCAATTTTGTCAGGGCATAAGAGTGTATATTTGCAGAAAGCATTTCCAAATAGCAGAACAATATTGTGACATTCTGTAATATTGCAGAGCACTGAAAAAAAGTATTTCTCAGCCCTAACTTCTAGTAACACTGAGATAATCTACTATTCTTCCCATAGCAAATGCTTTCTGGCAGCACTCTATGAAACATTGTCACCTTTATGACCTGATCAGACAAAGTGGTGGCCAATGTATAAACATGCCTACTACTGTGACGGAAGTATTCACTATAGATAACACAGAACCAATCTTTCAAGCACTTCAGCATGCAAAACACGGAGAAACTTGGTAAAGCTTTTTCAATATTTTAACAGGGCCATGGCCTCGCTGCCACCAGGTCTTGTACATGTCTCCTTGGTTTTCCATCCACTCTTTACGGAGGTAATGAACTCAGAACCAAATCCGCTGAGTTCAAAAGATTACAGTTTGGGTCTTCCATGTATCATGCACCCTCACTCCAAAAGGTAAAAGGTCAAGTAAAGAAGTCAAACAAACTCAAAGTCAAAACTAAAAGTAACGCACTTTTTGTTATTATGTTAGCCTTTGCAGAAGGAAATCATACTGTTTTTGCTCTGTTTCTTCTTCCTCTTCTTCTTCTCCAAACAAATAAGGTCATTGACCTGAAACAGACTGTCTGTCACCATGGTAACTAGTGTTGGGTTATATCATGTTGCAATTTTGTAGTAGGAGGGATTTAGACTCCTGTCACCATACATATGAATGTGTTTGGTAAGAATTAACAGAGCAGACCATAGACTGCGAAGGTAAACATTATGCATCTGCTTTGCAAATGTTACCTTTCTAGTTAACCTTCGATCTGGTATGGTAGCCTTCTGGCATATTCGTATTATTGGTTTTAAGCGTTAAGCAGCAAGGAGAGGATTAGGATTATCCTGTAAGTTACGAGTATAGTCCATCAGCCCCCTACTGATACCCTCTCAGAGTTAAAAGCATACATAGTGATACATAGTGTACATAGCAGCGAAACTAATGTTCTTAGGTCTGAGCAGCTTTACTTGTCGGCTCATCCAGGGCCCAGTAAGCTCCCTGTGGTAGCCAATTTCCCTGGCTCAGCAGAAATGCAGGAAAGGGTCAAAGAGGTGGTGTCCATTAAACCTCAGCAGTTGGAAGGAATAAGCTTTGAAGCGCTTCAAGGATTTTATGCTTTTATTGCACGTCTATTTGCGTTTGGTAAGGCGTAATGTGGGGTAAGGGAGAAAAAGGTCACTAGTGCCTATAAACTGCCCAAATCATTGTAGATGGGCTTAGGCCACGCCAATTTAATTTGTTGGTTAACGGATTTTTCTAAGAAAATAATGGAGCGGGCGGGCAAAAAAATAAAAAATAAAAACAGGTCTAGGCATCCTATTATGGCCCAAAATGGTACGATAGGAGCCATGAAGTCAACACACCAGGCTGGTTCAAAATTTAAACAATGAATTTTGAACTTTTAATGATACCATTGCATTGAAAGATGGAATAACTGTAAGAACTAGGAAGAA